TTTATGTGAATTGGGAAAAGCAAAATTTCTATAAGTCAAACTTAAGATTTAACATTGTTTTTAATGTCAAAGATATCCAGCCAAAGCAGATCATCTATGGGAAAACCTCTAAATCTGAAGATCCAAATATATGGGTGAATGCTTCTGAAGATTTTGGCTTCCAAGATATATCACTGGATCCAGACCAGCATGCCAGCAACCTTACCAGGAGCAGTGCTTGCTGCTGCTGCTGCAAACACTGGTGCTGAGCTAGTGGTCCACGAAAGCCACCACCACAGCAACTGCCAATACAAGGGTGGCTTGCTGCCACACCAGCAGCCAATGTCATGTTATAGGTAGCCTGCTGACAATTCCTTGGCATAGACAGAAGGAGAGTCACCAATGGAAGCCAGAGAAAGAGGTGAACAAGTGCGTGTCTGCAACCCAGTGGCCCAACCCACAAGGGAAATTATGCTGCCATATGTGGTAGCATACCTGGGAGTGGGAGGTATGTGTGAAGCCCACATGACAGCATTTATATGGGGAGAGACACACACAGAACCCACAAGAGTACAGAAACCCAGGATAGCCAAATAGAGTAAGGAACAAAATTTCCAATCACCACCAACCCATCTCCCAACTGGGGGAAGCTAGGTCCCAGAAGGAACTTCTGCCTATAGGAAATAAGAAAGAGAANGAAGCGAGGTCCCAGAAGGAACTTCTGCCTATAGGAAAGAAGAAAGAGAAAACCCACCCAAAGTCACCCATTCAAACTGAGGAGAACCAGTATACCCCAGTTCACCCATTAGGGTCATGGGGAACTAGCCAGGGTGCAACAGACCCTCCAGGGTCACCCACTACAACCAAAGAGTGACAGGGTACAGAGGCACTTCACCCAAGAACTTGAGAGCTTGCCCACATCTTGGACAGACCAACACAGTGTCACCAGCCTCAGCAAAGAATCACCAAGTGCCCCAGGGACTAGGCCATGGAGGCACTTAAACACAATTCCAACACTGAATTAAGCTGAAGTACCAACACAGAGACTACACTACTGTGTCTACCTGGAACCAATACTAAAACACCCCACTCAATTGCCATTATAAAACACATCTACGAAAGGGAGTCTATCTTCTTAAAGCCCACTCCAGAGTAATAGAAAAAGCAATTGCTGTACCAGATGACTAGACATCAACGTAGAGATACGAGAAGTACAACAACAACAACAAAAAGCCAAGAAAATATGACAGCAAAGGAATATAATAATTATCAAGTATTAGACCTTTTAGAGCAAAAAACCTTTGAAATGACTGCAAAGGAATTCTTAGCAATGATTTTAAGAAAAATCAATGAGATACAAGAGGACTCAGTTAGATGACACAATGAAATGAGAAAAAGTATACAGGATCCAAAGGAGGAAATGTATGAAGCGATTAACGCCTTAAAAAGAATATGGCAGGGCCGGCCCGGTGGCGCACTGGATAGTGCGCCGCTTGGGAAGCGCGGCGGCGCTCC